ATTACAAATTATGTTGCTATCTAGTGAATGTTGGTAACGTTTGCACCGCTACGTGTTGATGTCGACGCATGGTATGATAGAAATGATGTCTGTCTGAAGGACGTAAATATGTAATTAGCTTAAACTATCGTGGCATGATGTCATAAACGCTTGCATGCGGCGATAGTCGTCTTCCACGTTTCCCCGCCTTTGAGTCACGTGACATTTTCTAGCTAGAGAATTCGGACTCGCAAGGTCGCTAATAATTTGATGAGTAAATATTGGGCCTATGGGAGTCAAATGTGGCACCACTTGGTACTATGAAGCAATAAAGACTTATTTTCAATTATGAAGTGTTGACTCTTGACTCAGGTAAGTTATCGATCATTAGGGAACAATACGAGCGATCGCCATGACGTCACCGTAGGCAAAAAGTGGGTGCCAGTTGGCTGATTTGCCTACCAAGAATTTGCATATGTCTTCAAATAATTTACATGTAAACAAAAACAGCGATCGCTCGTATACAAATGTAGACACTGTGACTCTCGGTAACATCTCTCAGGCCGCCGCCATCTTTGTCACCTTTGACCTGACAGGGGGACCGTCCGTTATAAAAGGGGAGGGGTGTAAATTTTCCACACAGCAAAAGTTGCAGTATAAAACACGCAAAAGTTGCAGTGTAAAACACCAAAAGTTGCAGTGTAAAACACCAAAAGTTGCAGTGTAAAACACAGCAAAAGTTGCAGTGTAAAACACAGCAAAAGTTGCAGTGTAAAACACCAAAAGTTGCGGTGTAAAACACCAAAAGTTGCGGTGTAAAACACCAAAAGTTGCAGTGTAAAACACCAAAAGTTGCAGTGTAAAACACCAAAAGTTGCGGTGTAAAACACCAAAAGTTGCGGTGTAAAATTTTGTACTTGTCGGCCACGGTAGGATCAACCACGCCATCTACCGGAATCCAAGACGAACTGCAGCATCATGAAGCAAGATCAAAGTGTAATCTTTAACACAAGAAATTGGACTTATCGATTTTTTTTGGCAAGGAAAGAACAATCTATCGCTTATCTGAACATCATACAATATCTGCTTGTGTGTTATAAGTATGATACAACATGCAAAAGAAATGTAGTTTATTTCATGAAATGATTGTGATTACGAGATAGATATACATTCTTCAGGGCAAGTAGTATTGTTTACAGCAGTTTTACATCATCTTAATTTCCTATTAAGACAAGTTACAATCATAGGTCTGACCAGCAGAGTCACGTGCTCATATTGAGAGGCTTTCTGCTACCTGGATACCTCTTACTTATTTTGCAATCGCCACAAAAATGCCTCCACCCTCGAGGCGTCGCCAAAAACGATGTGTTGACCAACAACATAAGCAGCTGTGAAGGACCTGCCTTCATGTAAGCACATTTACAATATTCAACCTTTACTTTTAGGTCATTTATAGTAAGAAGAACTGAAAAGACGGCATATACTTTTTTCATAGTCGGTGTCTTGTCGATTTCTATCTGTATTGCAAGCAAAGTACAATAAAAGGGTTAATTTGTTGAATTCTTGAAACACACAAATGTGCAGCAGCTTTTACAAATGACGGAGCCATCATCTTATCACTTTAGTTACCAATATTGTACATTACGTTCAACATAGGATAGAATCTGTCACATCAAATCTAGTCTATCCAACCTGTTTATTTAAAACATTAATAAAAATTGGCAGTCACCACATTAACAGCAGTTCGTAGTTACAGCGAAGATGCTACAACCGTGATGCAGTATGGTCTAGTCCAGTAACGTCATATCTTGAACTCTGACCTAGACCACAATGCATCACCGTCGCATATGCGTACTCTGAAACTGTGAGGTGGCTTATTGCCACCTAGGAAAGTTAAAAAAGTAAAGTAAAAACTCGTATATCACAATCCTAGACTGTGGTAGATATTAACGTCTTGTTACAAGATAGTCGTAGAGAGATGTAACTGGTAGTTATTCGACATAAATGAAATGTTTCCTATACACTATAGAGCTTTAGTCTGAGTTTACATCACTTCCTTATACGAATCTATACAGAATATTCCCTTAATGTTACGGAAACAATACACACAGTAGTAATAATGTCATCATCCGATTAGTTGTCTTGAGAAATACATTCAGTTATTCCAAATCTCTGCAATAATATCTATGACTTGTTTCTACCATGATTAGAAAGATTGACATATGAACCAGAGTACGTCTGCAGAAGTAGAAACGCTCATATCATCAGCTGTCCTCCATATATAATATTTATATGTAAGAAAAAAGTGTATGAATCCTACTTGTCTATTTATTGTCTAAAATGAATCCCTCCAAGATGCCAACTGATACTGAGATCAGAGTTTCCCTCAGCAGTCTTCCAAAACCAACACAGTTATCTAAATCCATGAATGGCTATCTGAGGTGAAAAGACTTTTCTAATTTCTAATCCAGAAACAAACGCGTCGCCATTCCTCGCTCCGGGCGTCTATCGTTACCAAGGCAGTTAGTAGTCCCGGTCGGAGTGGAAGGTTGTACCAGCCACACTCCCCATGTGTACAGACTGTTCGGTGGGGGATGGGACCCCTAGATAGTGGTCTATCTTCTTTCCAATCAACCAGATCTGGCGGTTTGTGTCCTCCTTGCCCTCCAGCAGCTCGTATCTAAGGCTTGAAATGTCTTGCTTGATTTCTTCGAGCTCGCCTGGAAGGAAATTTCAAGACAATTTGATGAGAGCACCTCCATGTGTTAGTGTGAAGTTATACACCTGTACGCTTTAGTGCTTTAATTTGCCTTGATGAAAAAAATCAGGAGACCCTAGGTCACTAGGTCACCCTCCCCCTTACTCAAGAGGTATTTAACACTAAAAATTATGATGTCCAGTGTACAAGTAAAAAAAAACAAGTAGAAAAGTTCTGCTGCAGTATCAATGAAATCCTCTAGGAGACCCCAATCTAATACCTTCTTTGATAACTTAAAAAACCATATTGAAATACATATTAGGTTCTTGAATTATTTCATCAGGTTGGTGAATGATAGAATGGCAAAGTTTTTTTTTTATTCACAACCAATCGTTTAACAAGGGAATAACGGATTTCTTGGCACTTCATCCACAGCTTATTTAATATGCTGCTCGACCACAAAACCGCACTACCGAATACATAACATTCTTTACAAAGGTAATAGTTATAGATTGACTCGGTTACTCACCCTCGTTGATTTCGCCCTCCTCCTGTGCCCGCTGTGCAGTGAGGATATACCGCTTGACCAGTCTCTTCATGATGCACTAAATCATAACATAATCACTTATATTAAAGTTCTGTAGTACAGTATTATTTCATTAGAACAAAAACACCACTGGCGTTTAAAATAAAGCCACTAGGGAGACCCTACATGTGTCACAAATACATGTATATGTTACCAACGATTGCTGACGCATAGGGATTTGTAACATCAATATAGTAGGAATTACATTAACAAGAACAATGGAAACAGAAAAAGCAATGCAAATTTTTCACTAACCAACCCCAGAGCATTCATTTAAACAATTCAAAGCTTCAGGGTCAATAAACAGTTTTGCGATGGACACTTCATGTTCCATGCACCCTAACAACACTAGAGCATAACTTATTTTAGGAACGTCAGTATTCGGCAGCTTACCTGGTATTCTGAAGGCGCGTCTATTGACCGAATGCAGTTCATCATGGGGAAACTGTTGTCAAGCTGAAACAAAGAAAAATCGGATGGACTGAGTTAGATTATTAAATATTTTATGACCGAAGATGTATAACGTTAAGTCTCTTATTGACAGAAAACCTAACATGAAGAGATGATCATAGTGCACTGAAGATAGCATGATTGAGCAATTTTCTCAGCGTATAAAATTGCTCAATAATCTCAGCGTATAAAATTTGATCAAAGTTATTTTGATATACTTTAACTATGAACAACCGTATCTTCATCGGCAAGCTGACAACAGAGGATTTGTTGGGGGTATACATAGTGTTAACATTCCCAGTTCGCCACCCTTTAAATTGTAGTATATACTTGATCCCTAATCTGTTTTACCAACTATACATACAATCCGGTCGATTTCACCACCTCAATAGTTTGAACCCTCTACTCTACATACACTTCCGAGAGATCCCGTGGCACCGTTGGACCGTCGGGTCATCCGTGACTCGGTGTCGTATCTTCTCATCATCTTCTTCTTCTTCCTCTGGCAGCTGCACAGGTCGCAGAGGAGGTTCTTGACGCCGACGATGATGTAGAAGAACGTCTTGGGACTCGGCATGAGGTTGAAGGGAGCCGGCATGGTCATGCCCTCCTCGAAGTACGACAGCCACAGCTTGGTCCGCGCGAACTTCCACTCTACGTCAGAGTCGTCCTGTGGGTTAGACGTTAAGGGATGTTTGTAAGTGACCGTATGTACAAATATATAACGCCTTCATATATACAAATACTAACACTAAAACTATTGGGTCTCAGAATCAGACGTTTCAGAGAGCACCTATTGTCTTTCATTGCTGAAGGTGAATGAATCTATGAAAGTTTGAAGACAAGTAAAACTTGATTGATTGATTGATTCGTTCGTTTATTCATATGAGTATCTATAGAACAGGAACTCACCTCGATCTCCTGGTAAGAGTTGCTGATCATGGCGATCAGCATGTTGATCAGCACCACCACCGTGATGACGTTATAGGCTCCGAACAGGATGTACCCAACGTTCTCAATGAACTTATGGTCATATCTACAGGAAAAAGGTCAAACAACATGTTATCAGACCGAAAATGCTGTGTGCATTTTAAGAAACAAAAGTCCCGAAAGTCTGGCAGTTACCTATGATAAGAGAGACTTAAGACGCCAAAAACAGTTACTCAATATATGATTTTGGAAACGGTCAGATGTTTCAGGTAGCATCCACTACCTTTCATCAGTGACACATTAGAGAGAGGGTCTTCCCGTGCACAAACGATATTTGCGTTGGGTTTTATTTAAATCGTACCTTAGATGGACACCTTTCACCTCAGATAGCCCGAACATTGACCAGAACAGAGCTTTGAACGTCTCCTCCAAACTGAAGAAAAAACATGTCACATGAAAAAGGTTACATGTAGCGTCAACTGTAGTACATTATCATGTTCGTGACTTATACGCATTTATGACACAACAAACTTACAAAGTATAATACTTTCTATATTTCTGGTACTAGTGGCAATGATGTTCAGTATATTATATACTAGTAGTATGTCATATAGAATGTAGGAATGTCTATATCGCCCATGCAATTGCAACAGGGTTGTTACTATGTTACTAAACTCACGTGACAAACGCAGCGTGGTCCTTGGCCCCTCTGTAGTACGAGTACAGCTGGAACATGGCCAGCATGAACGCGGTGAACACCAGGAAGAAAATGACCATGAACTTGAGGATGTCCAGGATGGTTTTGCCCAGGGATATCTGCAGGGGCCCGATGCTCTCATTGGCGGGCAGGATGTACGCGATGCGGGAGAAGCTCAGCACAATCCCTACAGCAAACAGGCCCTCGGAGATCAGTTCCGGGTCAGAGGCTACCCAGTACTTCCGGTCTGAAACAAGAAAGCACAGTTGTCATTTAATAACCCTTGTCCTGCTGGTAATTTTACACGATATGAATCAATGATTTGGTCATAGACACCTAAGTTGTTTGTTTTGTTTTTTTTTGCCCTGCGGTGGCATAGTTACTTCCGCATTCGCTGCGTTTTGCTGCGGTGTGATGCGTTGCACGAGAAATACCCCAAACCGTACATATACAGGACACTATATGGATGGTACTGTATGTGCACCCCATATATGTCATATATGGGCTCCGCGGGAAAAGGATTTCAATAACTTGGATCTGTTGTGATGCAGTACTCTCAATCTGTGCATAGTGGCGCTCATGATATCTTTGGTACCGGTGCCATACTCTCCTGTGTCGTAACCTGAGTGTCAGCCTTTTTGGCTTTCGTCCGCTCCCACCGGGCCACATTTACCTATGTTGAATTGTACTGGAAGAATTTTGGTAAAACGATGTTGATCAGATCGTCCTTCTAAAGAAAGGCCAACCGCACTGTTCAACTCTAATACTACATAGTTCGCACTGAGTCCAGTGCCATAGGGTCTCCACATAAGGAAAGATTAATACTGAGATACATGTATTACGATGCGTCCATCTATTGGTATATCTCCCAGCAGTGGTCTCTTCAGTCGTATGGTACTGGAAGGAATTTGAAACTGAAACTGAAACTGAAAGAATATTGATCAGATCGTCCTTTATTGGAATGGCCAATTAACCGCATTGGTGAACTCCAATACTGCATGATTCATATTAAGTTCCATAGGGTCTCCCCATACACATACGAGAAGATGGATACCGAGATATTATGATGCTTTTATCCAATAGTATATCTCCCGGTAGTGCTCTGCAAGGATTTTGAAACTGAAACGAAAACTAAAATAATATTGATCAGATCACCCTTTTGGAAAGGTCAACCCATTTGGTCTCCAATTCCGCGTTGAAACAGCTTGTATCATCTGATTCTGTTTCGAGCTGGTAATCCGCTTCTATGCTTGCCCGGACCCAAAAGCGTTCTTCTTTAAGAAGGACATTTTGAACAGTCTAGACCTTGTTGCCATACTTTAATGCTACATGGTTCGTACTGATTCCCAAGCCAAAGGGTCTCTCCATACACACACGAGAAGATGGATACCAAGATATTACGATGGTTTTATCCATTGGTATATCTCCCGGCGGTCGCGTGTGCAGATATCAGGGCTTATCTCTCAATAACAGCCACCGACAGTCCGCCCATAAATCCTGTCGCCACCCTGAAACCATTCGATGGTCGCGATATATCACTCGATGCACTATTCATCAATCTGCAAATGCATTTCATCATTCACGACATGCCATTGATCAACCTGTATAATTACCCATGCGGAGGCGTCTTGCTATACTAGTATTACACCTACCATCTTGTCATATCCAATACAATTATGAACAAAAGTTAAAACTGCAATTATCTTTCATGCAGATGCGTTAATGTAATGTTTTATGCCCGAGGGTTAATCGCAGGAACAGAAGAAACATTTGGTATAAAAAAAAAACGGATAATTAGTACACATAGAACTACTTATAACTACTAAGAAACTACTAGTAAAAACTACTGGGTTTGACTTCTTTTTTTAAGACAGAGGAAGACAAAGGATCCCACTTTTTCTGTAATTTGTGGGTTTTCAGATGTTAAGAGGAGAGTAGTTTTCTAATACTACTCGTCAAAGTCCCGGCCCATGATAGGACAAATATCAAGCTCAAGAAATCACAACTCTCTTTCTGTTCTATTTGCCAAAAAGCAACCAGAATCGCTTGTCACCTCATCTATTAACCCTACTTAATACGAGTTAACCTTCCAGCAACCTACGCGCTCCACTGTCATACCCGACTGTCTGTGTATCCATCATGTGATTGACCTGTATTAACCTTTATAAACGAACTTGATACGTGGGTTCGGTGCATTCTGTATACATGGCGACTTTGTGTGTGGTTCAGTGGGTCACCGTGTTACAATGCTGCACACAGTGTTTTGTACATTTCAACACGCCCTGTGTCAAAGACGACTAGCCTCTACCAGTCACCGCGGATCGCTGGAAAAATAGTAGAAATTGGCCGAAATAAAGGGATAGTATGCCAGAGAAGATCCCGGGCCATAGAAGATCCAATTCGCAACCCGTGGATCTCCTATGGCCCGGGATGTTCTCTGGCATACTATCAGTTTATTTCGGCCAATTTCTACTATTTTTCCAGCGATCCGCGGTGACTGATAGAGGCTAAAAGACGACATGTTTGGTACAACTCGTGTTCAACCCGGTGTCAAGCCATTTACAAGATCTTGCCAAATACATGACTCCGACACTACTTGGGGGTTTCCAATATACCTGAGACAAGGGGTGGGAGGGGTTTGGTCGTGATGTGGGAGACTATACCAAACCTAGCCCCAATTGTAAGTCTAAACCTAGCCATTAACAATGATCCCAACCCTAACTCTGATACCACCCCTAACCCTAGCCTTAAGCACCTGACGTCTCACGTATGTGACAGCTCAATGATTTGGCTCAACATCGGTCGGTGGCAGGTATCGACTTCTGGTCACCTTTGACCCAATGCTGACGTCACGTACACGTCCCTAAAATTGGTGCTCGTTGGAACAGAGGGTCAAATTCTTGATGAAGAATAGTGAACACGGTCCTGTGTATGCGTTGGATAAAAGTTTGTAACTAAGACTACACTTCTTTGTCCTATTCATCTTCTGTGATTTGTTACTATGACATACATGTCTGAATCCGTGCCAAGTTTGCAGACGTAGAAACGGCTATACTAGGGTAGCTGCCCTTTATTTTCTACGTGCACAGCATAGACTTTTACTATTTTGCAACGCCAGCTGCTACCACATTGTATATACATACAGTTAAACACGCATTATCAGGCTATAGGGTACTATGTTACGCGCCTCCTCGTTAATAACAAACACCACCTGATAGTCCGGGAAATCTGTCTTTAATCTGCTTAAGTGGTTTCTTGGACCTGACTTGTCTCACGCCATCTGCGAAATGGCGAATATTCCATAAATGAGACAGCAGGGTCAGACACTGCAAATCACACCTAAAATGAGGCTAATACAACGGAAACTACAGTGGCTGAAAGTAGATTAGATGTTGAAATGAAAGGACTGACTATGTAAGCCGTTGAAGCACCGTTTGGGTCAAACTATTTGGGTTAATTCTCTTTTTTTTTCCTCTACAGGAAATTCTCTGTAAACATGCCTGCCTAAATGCTTAGGCCGGAGCTGGCCCCTTACTCCTGTTCATTTTTTAATTTTTTCACTCCAGACAGCACGGTCCTTAGCCTTTTGTTCTGCAACCTTGAGGGACTATACAGTGTTAATGACTATTTGGTGTGAGTGAGTGAGTGAGTGAGTGAGTGAGTGAGTGAGTGAGTGAGTGAGTGAGTGAGTGAGTGAGTGAGTGAGTGAGTGAGTGAGTGAGTGAGTGAGTGAGTGAGTTCTACCCGTACCTGATCTCTCCCTGGTGTAGTACTCCCACTGCGTGCCTGAGTAGTTCCCTGGATGAGCGTTCATGTAGGTGGTGGCCTCGTACACCTTGTACCAGGCCACGAAGCGGGTTGCGAAGGACGCGAGGAAGGTGGACAGCATGGAGAAGTCCAGCAGGTTCCACATCTGGGACGTGTAGTCCTTCAGGCCGCTGCCCCACAGCTCCTTCACTTCGGCCCAGATCATCCCTAAACACAACGGTAACACCGGAAACTTTACTGTCATGAAAGTTCATCTGTGTTGGTAGTTACATGTTTAAAGTTAAAACTTTTGGTCCAACACTTCAAAGAAGCCACGTGACAAGCTTCACTGGGACAGTCTACTGAGGAAGACCAGAGTGACTGGTCGAAAGCTCTAGGTGAGAGAATTTTTGTGTTGGACCAAAAGTTTTAACTTTAAACCGGAAACTTTAGTTTTGAACTTTATTTCAACACAAGGGTTACACAGACATCAAAGTTTCAATGACAACTGTCGCCTTCTTCAGGATAATTAATGACCAATCACTTCACAACGTGATCTCGCGAGAGTTATGGTTACAGGCCGCTTCCCCACAGCTCTTTGACTTCGGCCCAGATCATCCACAACATTGTACAACACAATGGTAGCACATTTCGTTTAGCCTGGGTACCATTCTGGTTAGTTTACGTCCGCTCCCACAGTCGCTCCCACCAACCAGGGATCATACAGAAATAAACTTAATATACAACAGATAACATGAAAAAACACACACATATAGCACAAAAAGATATTTATATCATGTACTGATGAAAGGAACATAATCAACATACTCGTCACAGAGCATCATATGAACAGTTGGCGGATGCCTTTTTTAAGTTAAATCTAATGGAAGGATTGATGTACTGTGGCAGTTTGTTAAAAGGTAGACTGCCCGGTATACTGGAGTTTGGAAGCTGAAAATCTGGTTGAATCAAAGAAGCGTGACATTTGATGCAATCGTGTTGACTACAGTGTATTCACCTTCATAATTTTCATCTATAGAATTCGATAGTGGCCATGTTTATCATAATATCTATATCCACTTTGCCTTTTCTTGAATCGTAGCTAAATCTATAGGTTAAGCTTCTGCAGGTATGGTCCCTACGATACAACATTTTCTGCCGCAAAGCAGCAATTTTAATCACGCAGATCACATACTAAAGAGCCAGATGAATACGGTAGGCTCAATACTGTGGCATATGCAGTAAGTTCAGCATACGCTTTATGAAAAATTGATATTGTAGGATTACACCATCAACGTTGAATTACATGCCCAATTATCAGAGGAAGGCCACGTGTAATTAGTAAACCACACTGTAACATATGGTAAATCTTGTGCGACACTGTGTGATATATCAAAGGGTGAAATATCATGTTGCAACAAGGCAATGTGAGATGGCAGAGAGACGAAAAGGGACAGAGAGAGACCGAAAAAGACAAATAGAGATAGGCAGAGAAGGACACATGGAGAGACAGAAATAGAGAGGAGAGATTCACAGAGAGAGAGGGAGAGAGAGAGATCCCTGTACCCAGAGATATCCCTGTAACTACAACTAACTTAAGCGGCTCTATGAAAGACACACTCACACAGAGAGAGGTAGGAAGGGAGGGGGAGGGAGAGAGAGGGAGAGAGAGAGAGAGAGAGAGAGAGAGAAAGAGAGAGAGAGAAAGACTGAGAGAAAGAGAGAGAGAGGGAGAGGGAGAGGGAGAGAAACCCCTTTGCCATGACGTACCCAATACCCAGAGAATAACTAGCAGCTCTATGGGCTCCCATCGTCCCACGCGGTCCCTGCCTGCGATGGAGGGCGGATGTGTCGTGTTGACGTTTCCGGTTGAGAAGCCCTCGAACCGCTCGGCGGAGTTCAGGACCAGCAGGACCAGGAAGATTGCAAAGGAGGACGCATGTGCCAGGAACTTCATGAACGGGCTCCGGAGGACTCTACCGGCCTGGAGAGAGAGATTGGAGCAGCATTTGTGTCAGATAACATGCAAGCTTAAAGACATCCAGTTTTTAGGGCTTGGAAACCCGATTTTCTAGTCATTTTATCTTCACACTGAGTTGAAACTACACTATCCCAATGTATATTGACCCTAATGGAGCAAAATCCCCAAAGTTCTGACGGAACATGGTTACTGAAAGGGTCCTGGGCTGATTTTTAGGGTACCACCCAGAAATAAAAGACTCAAGATTCTCCGGAATTTTGTCTTGTCAGTTGCGGGGTAAGTTGCGTCATGAAATTGTTAGAAATGCCTCATACTTGCCAACTTATTGCCTATGTATTAAAGATCACTGTAAGCCCATATCTTCGCGCCAACGGGCAGGTTTCATTGATGCGCTGCTGACTAGAGGGTATACGATAAGCACTAGCAAAACCTCTAGATAACTGCCGTGTACAAATTACCTTTCATTTGTTGTTACGAGTGCTCCTTTATCTTCATAATTGACGGAGAGTGAAGTATTATCTTCCCTGTAATCGCAACTATTTTCCCCTAGCTAGGCTTTGCTTGTTTTCTTGATAAGTCGTCCCAGTAGCTATCCTATCTTTCGAATCACTGTTACCCAGCCACACATTGCTTACAGTTATAATCACCTATATTAGTACAGGTGTCTATATCTTTCTCCCATCTATCTAGTCTGCTTGTGTTTAGCGCTATCTCATGCCCTCGTTTTGTGTTATCAGAATGCTCTAATGTTGACCAGTTAAGCACACTATGCATCCGTGATTACAACCCACGTACCGGTTCAGGGTCTTTCTAAGCCTAGGTGATGATTTCCCTCTTTCTAACAAAACCCGCGAGACCTTGGGAGTCCAATTAAGGATGAAACCGAACTACTGTTGCGCATAGCGCTCTGATGATTAGTGTGTGAATACGAGACCTACATCGGCTCGGCACCTCATTATCACTCTGGTCTTTCTTCCGACTGACGTCTGCTCCTCTGTGGGGAGGTAATGAGTGTGCAGGTGCGGATGTGAAAAACTTTGTGGATTTGTTTTTTTTTCAGAGAGTGGCAACAAAACTACCAGTGGTGTTAACTATTACGACGTGTACTGTATTACCAGGGTGTATCAAGGCATTAGTAGACCTCACCCGGGTGGTATAACTCACATTTAAGGGTATGACTAAAAAGCCATAGAGCTCTATAAGTGTACACCAAGTTCAAATCCTTGTCATTTTCGTGTACGTAACGCGCTTTTATTTTTTAACAGGAGATATCTTGCTCATTGGACAGTCATGGAGAATGGAGCTGTGGCCACAAGTGCTTAGCCTCCGTAGCAGGCTTATAGAACTGGGGGTTTGGTGGTCTTCGGCTGTTTTCTGATTAGCCCAGTTAAAAAAACGGGGGTAATTCAACTAGGCCGGCTATGTTGTCTATATGCAATAAGAAAATAGCACATAAAAACTACAATAAGTAGTATTTCAAAGTATTTGTTATGACCCAGTCAGAGTTTCATACGTGTCCTGTGGGTTAATTCAGGCCCGGTTGAACAAAAATGTACAAACCGCAGTGGAATTCTTGGCTTTTGTCTTGGAATTTTTTTTACCTAGTAAATGCAGTTGAATGTCCATAAACTTCATTTACATACAGGAACTCAATGTTACGGGGGAAAAAACTACAATGTGTACTATTTCATAGTATTTCTTATGACCCAGTCAGAGTTTCATACGTGTACTTTGGGTTAATACAGTGGATTTCTTGGCTTTTGTCTTGGAATTTTTAAAACTAGTAAATGCAATTGAATGTCGATGAACTTCAGCTACATACAGAAACACACGTACGTGGATGCCAAGTTATATTGATTACATGGAAGGCACCTCTCCGTTTGGGTTCTTTAAGTTGAAATTTGGGGCGGCGCCAAAATACACCCCGTCGTGAAATCCTCTCTGGCTAATTCGCCAAGATTTTCACAAACGTTTAGTCCTGCTAATCAATAGCAGGCTTTCACGGTCGAACCGCGGAAATGGGCTTTGCGTTAACAAAACATGTCTAATGGCAGTAATGCACTCGACGTCTGCCTCTCGTCTCAGTACATTACGACAATTTTGGTAGCCAAAAGCCAAAACGTCGGTTAAAAACTGCCTCATCAAGACACAGGATATACTAGTAGCTACAGTCGTATCCCGGTAATTGCTTATGATATGTAGGTTCCACCAGGCCTTTCTACGGGAATACGGATCGTAGAATTCGGCAAAAAAAAGAGAATAAAATGGGCCAAGGGAGTCCGGCCGCGGGGAGGTAGTTTCTTTCCCTCGGCCCAGTCAAATCTACAAGGCGGCCAAACTACCCTAGCAAATATTCTCCTATATAGCCAGCGTAGTTAGTCAGGTAGAGACTATATTATATGTGAGTGATTTGGCTTTGGGTCAAATAGCCAGTTTCCTCCCTACGCCCACACCCCCACTCCTACAAAGCACGTCCAACACATTGTGGTATACGCCTCGTATTGTACATCAAAACTAAAAACATCGCTCAGAAAGCTTTCAAAAGCCTGTTATCCCTGTCTGGGGCTTGTCGATTGCCGGCCATCAATGCGCGGAGAAGGCAGCAGTGTGGCGCCAACACCCATTCACTTACCCTCCATGACCCCCGCTAGCGATAATCGGCAATGTCGCGTGGTACTAATCAAACTCAATGACTGAGGCCCCCTATAGGTGGTATACTAGTACTTACACACGGTTCAATCTCATCTAGGAACGTGATATCTTCATGACAGTATGCCCACGGGAACAATCCAACTGAACGACAGCACTACTACGATTTATAATATCAGGCGGAGGCAACTCATCGGCTAGGCCATGCTTATTTCATTATATATGGATGACATCCTCTGGGAATCCCAAAACTGACGCGAGCCTGCGAACAAAAAAAGAGTTTTAAAAAAGTTGACTTCATCATGAAATCTGCGTGGTCATGAAGGTTGAACAAATGACTAAACACACAGAGTATGGTATGGTGAATAATGGATTTTTCTTTCTTTACATTCTCTTCTTTTCCTTTGGAATTGATTTTGGGATTCTTCAACATTAGTATCGTTTTCAATATTTTTTTTTGCAATTTACGGCATACATTTTCTCATTTTGCAGCTGCTTTGTACGATACATAGTATGGTCGAATCCTTTTTTTTTTTTTTTTGGAAACGGATGAAAATTCATGCGCGCGCGGACGTTATCCATATTATCAAACCAACATGGCCTTTTAATACGGCTGGGGGATTTCATCTTTCATCCCAACCAGAAGAAAAAGATCGCCCTCCCCTCTCCCACCCCTAACGTTTGATCGCGACATCAGCCAGTCTCTAGAAGTAACACGTAACAGCCCATTGAGCAGCCACGTACATGTAATACATCCGCCATTGGTTTGACCTCCGCTTTTCATATGTTGGTTGGCCTTTGCGTTTCGGCAGCAGTCGGGCGTGAATGGCTTTGCGGCTTTATTCTAGTCTTAGATCGAATGTTGAATGAAAACTGCATACCTAACGCGGCATCGTGCATACGGGTAAGCGTACAGAAAAGAAACCCACAGTGGGGGTCGCTGGAAGACAGACGCAAAATGTCCAGACTATGCATGATGTATAAAATGACTAATGAACTGATGACAGTACCAACCACTAAGTATCTGATACCAGCCCAGGAAAGAAGAAGAAACAGTTATGCCTTTAAATATCAGAGTTATCAGCCAAGAATTAAGGTGCCAAAAACTATATCGTAGAGTGGAACTCGTTGCCACCAAGCACAGTTGGGGCATCATTACTAGACAGCTTTAAACAACACCTGCAATTAAATGTGCAAAGATTGAGTGTAACAGATCGTTCGGTGTGATACAGCTAGCTGCCGCTGCGCCGCGTTCCTGCGAAGTTGGTGTGTTACGCCGAAGGGCGGTTATACCGGCTATACAGATACAGAAACAGCGTATACTGGTAACATAACCATTGCAGTGATGTTCAACTTGATTCTCTCAAATAAGGCACAATATTCCACATCATCAACTGCGGATGGGTGCATTTGCTCAGATTCCGCTTATATTGCTGCTATGTTATTTTGCGGATCGACTGTATTGGATAAAACCAACTATGGCTATACTTGCAACTTCCAATCATGGATGGACATGCACGATTCCGCATGCTACTAAGCACTGTGGTTATTACCTGATAACTATATATGACCGCCTTGGAGCTAGTTGCGTTATAATGAACTGCATTGATTAAAACCTTGTTCACGGCATTAGGACTAATAAAGAATGAAATTTTCTGTTTGACAGGCTGTCATAGATGGTTATGTAACACCTTGTAATTGCACGTAAACGAAGCGATGGATTCAGTAGCTATTCAGTTGATTGTGAGTGTAATCTATAGTGATTGGTACGCATACTGATTACTACTATTATATCTGCGCCTATGTAAGAAACCAATACTCAAAAAGTTTTGATAAATGTCAGACAACTTAATCTCGAAAAGAACGAATTTTTAAGTTACAAAGACTTGCTTGTTAGGAGTCATGTATACTGGAAAACCTTCAGTAAGTTATGTTCGCTATTGTTAATCTCATGCGTGCACTTGCTTAAATGTACTAGTATTTGTTTAATGACGCAGTTATAAGAACCGAAGATGCTTCGTTGCTTACCCTAGCCTCCTGTGCAGCCTCCGGGCGGGTAGGAATTTTGATACTGCGTTTTGTAGAATTTCTAACGCGTTCTTCTGCCAGCCATCCTACAACCAGCACCAGCCGCCCAGAGAAGGCAAGCAGGCTCCATGGCAGGTACAAACCTTTGAACAGCTGGTTGTAGGATGGCCGGCAAAAGAACGCGTTAAAAACTCTACAAAACGCACTATCAAAACTCCCACCCACCCGGAGGCCTGCACAGAAGGCTAGCTTACCCTTGAGCAGGGCGCGATCCAGTAGGCGACCGCCAGGAACGGGAGGAAGGCGGCGACACTGAGCACGAGAAGGCACTTGATGCTGGTAGGCTTCTGTCGGAGCCCTTCGACACCCTCGTACCAAATGTTCACCAGCTGCTGCTGGCAGTTGGGGTGAGCTACAAACTGCATCAACACAAACAAACAAACAAACTTAAATGGTTGCCTGCGATACTCTCCAAGCAAAGGTTTGAGTTTTTAGACTTTTTATCGGGGTTTCCTTTTTGCACTGGAATTTTTTTATGTTGGGTTGGTGTAAAAAATCCAGTGCAAAAAAAAAACGATAAAAAAAGCCTAAAAACACGCCAAACTAAAACCCAAACCTCTGCTTAGAGAGTAGCCTGCGAGGCTGTTGCCTGAATACTGTATACCATTTGTTTTTATACATTTTAAGTATATACTCCGAATAATTAAGCATTCATACAATGTATACTGTTTCAATGAACGTCACCGTCACACATGTTTAGCAATAGCAGTAGCTATAGCAACAACACAAGCAACAGTAAACAGATGGCATATTGTATACATTCATTCTTCTTTCATAATTGTTGCACATCTTCAAGCTCAATGCAAGGTACAATGTGCAAATGCATATGCACCTTCTGTTATCAAGTAGAGTTTGCATTATCTACATGATATAAACATTTTAATGTATTTACCAACTTGTACTCTTTGATCAACTCCTTCGGTATAATTGAATTTTACCGATAGGATCAACATGTGTTAATTTCTTTTGAGCACACTGGAAGACTGGTAAATAGGTTTGGGCGTTTGTTATCATATTATGAGCAATCCAGTGATTCTCTATGTAATGCAAGTACTTTGAGGAACGAAAACAGACAAGGATGGGAAGATCGTATTTTTCCTTGGGCCGTGTAGCGCAACAGCAGAGTGTTCGACTCAGAGGTCCCGGGTTCGAATCCCGCTATACGTCACCGATCTTGTGTCATTGGGAAAGGCACTTAACACGACATTCCTCACTTCACTCAGGAGAAAATGAGTATTGTTCTCTGTGTTGGTGGCGGCATAAAAATACGTTGAAAACTTGAGTGTGCCGTTACCATGTCTTGTGATTACATTTGGAACGGAAGAAAAAGAAACAGAGCGAGGGCAATATGTTTTCCTTCGCCTACCAGATACCTTTGACCCAGTGTTGACGTCACACTTCAAAAAAGCCACGTGACAAGCCTCACTGGGTCAGTCTACTGAGGAAGACCAGAGTGACTGGTCGAAAGCTCTAGGTGAGAGATCTTTTTTGTGTTTTGATCAAAGGTTTTAATGCTAAACATGTAACTACCAACACAGATGAACTTTCATGATAGTATAATTTCCTCCGGTAGACATAAAAATGAATGGTATACAACTGTATATATGTATCTAGAACCAGTTCCACCGGTCGGACCTTCATCCACACTGGAGTTCAGATCTGGAACCAACTTCCAGACACCATTGTGGGTAACATCAACAACAACGGCCTGCAGTCCTTCAAAGTTAGAGCCTATCGACACCTCCTTTATTGTAAATGAGAACACTTGGTAGCTGTGAGCCACTGATTGCGCACTAAACTGTATTCTTACCATGTGTATGAACAATCAGTGGGTATTGCTCACTATAGCACATTATATAAAAAACTGACCTTTTTGACTTTGTACTTGATTGCGATTTTTAACCTGCTGAGGCCGGGTCTTGCTGACGTCGTCTCCCGTTCCTCCTCGTCGTCCGGGCTGGTATTGAGAATGGCCTGCACCTCCTGCGTGTTGTGGCACAGGTCCAGGATACCCACCACGAAGTCCTTACACTGTTTGTTCAACTGTTTGTATTCACACTGCAAGTAATAACAGACACATTAGATGAAAGAATCTGCTAGAGAATATTCAATCCTTGTACTCTTTGTTCAACTGTTTGTATTCACACTGCAAAAAGCAAGACACATTAGATGAAAGGATCTGCTAGAGAATATTCAATCCTTGTACTCTTTGTTCAACTGTTTGTATTCACACTGCAAGTAGTAAATGAAACAATAGATTAAAGAATCTGCTAGAGAATCTTTAATCCTTAATCACATAACCAGTTTAGAAATTCAGAAGGGCACTGAAAGTCTTGAAAGTGACCTGCGTAGCAAAGACTTAAAAAGCCAGAAGGCAGAAAAGAACCGAGCCATGCCTACAATCAATCTTCACATGTGTGACCTGCGACAAGCCCTGCAAACGCAGGGCTGGGTTAGCTGCACATCACAAACATTAAGTGAACTGATCGTCCGCCAGGATGACAAGGACTATGGTGAGTTTTGAAATAATAGTATCAATGAAATCAATGAAATATTGTGTGACGGGCATACAAGCATAGTCAAGTTTGGGACCGCATTTTCTCAGTGCAATGCCACTCGTTAAAATTAGCACTGGGACCTGTAGCTAGTGACTATTGCCTTCGGGAAGGTACATCAGAAGGACTACCAAATCCTTCTCAGTGTTAAAACACCTTTGGCTGTGCGACAAAGAACTTTATATGTGTACCAACGTGATGATATTGTTCACCAAAGACTATCCACGAGCATGCATTAAGAGTGACTTGCCATTTATCAAAGAGATAATTGCAGAATCTTGGGAAACAATTTGTCGTGGCATTTACTAGTACCTTTAGCTTTTGTACAACTTGTCATAGCAGTGACACTGTAGTGAAATTATTCGACTGACGTAAAAGTCGAAAGAAAAAATTGGATTCACGGACGATGTACAAATACGCTAATTGAGCTGTCGTGGCACTTTCTCCTGCCTATGAACCAACTAGATTTTGCCAGTTATAACTATATCTGCCTGGAGTGAAAATAATTCCAATGACAGTGAGAAAAAAAAGAAAGTACAACTTGAAGACTGACGTGCTTTTCAGATGGCAGTTGTATTTAGTTAGTTCACATATACAGCAAAGTAGTCTTCTCGTATAATTAAACATTTCAAATCTGAGTTCTGTCCAAAAGCCTCACAAGAAATGCGCCTAAGTGTTATCCGTTCTATTTGACACTGACCTATGATAGCTTGATACCCAGAATTGTTGATAGCTATGGAAGATGCCGGTGCAGAAGACGTGGAGAATACCCTGGCTTTCATAAAGTTAATTTGCTGCATGACCTTCGTTGTTACATAACTTGGTTGATCTGACCTTTACCAATCATGTCACCTGGATAATATAACCTTTGTGGTCTTTAGAAGTTGCATACTGCAAACATGTTACACAACTCTTATCACTATGTATACATTGGGTTTAATACTGGCAAGAAGACTATGGGATTATCGTACTTTATATTCAAGCATTTCTCTGTCGTTACAAATTTTGCTCCGGTTGAATGGACGTGTGTGGAGTATGCGGTAAATTGTTATCTTCAACTGTGCAGCCTCTCGGGAAATCGTAATAATGTCCTGAAGCTACAAACGGGTGATCGGGGCTCTGGTCATGAAAAGAGGTCCAACATTAGCTAGCATACGAAAGGTGAATCCGAGTCAGATAGAGATGTATCCAAAGATTTGTTCTTCTGTAAAGTAAGTGGTTGTTGATTATTCAAGCGTTTTACTTTACAATACATCAGAAGAGTGGTATGTAGGACGACTGCAAATGGTAATACTGTAATCACTGATTTTTTTCACTGTACTCATATGTTCACTGTTTTCACTGTCACTTATGTACCGTGAACTTATCATTACAGTTACCAAATAATTCCTGGACTTTCTCTTTCCTGCACCTGTCGCCACTTTGAATATATAATTCTGTGAATATGTGAACGTAAAGTGAATTACAGTATTGAAATGCCTGTCAACATGTTGGCGACATGTTTTTCTGTCACCGAGACAATCTATGTTACTGCAGCTCTACCAGCATTGGTATTCATAGAGTTGTGTTTTAACATGCCACTTCATATCTCTTTAAAGAAAAGTTCATTGAACTTATGCATTTACATAACCATACTTCTGTCTCCTAGTGCCACTGTGAGCCTCTATCCCTGCATCGCCTGCCAATCCTAACCTGGTTACTCTAATTTAGCTGCCTAATTTAGTCTCTTTCGTCCTCTACAGAATTAGTTGCAGAGTGGACGAAAGAGTCTCGGCAGGTAAATTAGGCCTGGTAACCAGTCCAACCAGGTCCCCCCAGTGATGATTCTCCGGGGGTATATGTTAGACCTGGTGCCGAAGAGCTGCCCCTGCCTGGTGGCCTCCTCCAATAGCCTGAAATCCAGGCTATATAATCTGAGTTTTCTTTTTGTTGTATTAGTGATGTTTTGACTTAATGTGATAGTGAGTGATTTCTTTTTGTTATTGATTAGATCTAATAATTTCATTACTTTTGATCATTGTTATGTTATGTTATGTTATATATTTTGCGTATTCCACCATATTGATTTGATTTTTGTTGTTAATGCTATAGGCTATGTTCTGTTTTGAACTGGCTTTGTCTTAATGTTTTGTTGCTTAATGATCCACTTTATTTCCATAACTGTTACCATTCCAGATCATTGGCCAAATATAGATGAAATAGTTCACTTCGGTATTCATTATGCCTCTACAGGGAACTACTACCATGTCGCCTCATATTATACCTTACAAATATATCTATAGACCTTTTATGTACAGCGTTAGGCCTCTCTGCAAGTGGAATCAGCCCATGGAATCGTTATCAGTGTACGTTAGCCATACCAATCAGCCACGTTCTTTCACGGTTCGTTGGCGATTTTACCACATATTCATTATTGCCAGAGAGGAGATTAACCGGTCGATACCGGCAGAATATTCATCAGGGTAAATTTTTAACAGCATCATTTTATGTGTTGCCGCATTTTCACCATTTAAAGACATGCTATTAGAAGTGTAGTACCATGTTTTACCAGCAAGCTTAGATCGCCAGTGGAAATGATAATCCATGAATACTCTAGCACCTGCTGCTATCACAGCCACGTCCTGGCCTGTAGTCATATGGAGGATCTTCGCATGTTCAGATAAGGCTTAAGAGTTACATTGCTTCTGGCAGAGATGGTAAGTTCATCGAGCGTCCATCAAAACCAAGTACTAGTATATGTCACTTGGTGCACCCTTAATTTTATGGGTCAACTCCCGCATGGTCTTTCAACTGACTCTCTGCTATTTTTAGTTTGGTTGTCCTTCCATAAAAAAAGGGCTTAAGAGTTCCATTGCTCCATAGATGAATCACGTAATGTAAGACAGTGTCCATCGTGACGGTAGGATTGGTGGGTCAGATTGTCTCTTCCACTTCAGATACTGCGGCATCGGAGCGGTCGTAGATCAGTCTGGATGTGCCAAGTTTAGCTTCCGCACCGGTGCCTGCCAGGATTGCGGCTTTGCCTTGACTAACTACACCCATTTTCTTACCACACTCGCATAGAAGATTGCCATTTCTGCTGACTCTGAATTCAAACTACTTCGACTTGACGTGAATATGAAACAATCTAAAACAAAAAAAATTGTATAAAAGTATTCATAGGCGCACTATTAAAACAGGGAGGTGCACAGTGAATACTGACACCAGAAACCTACAAAGGAGACAATTTGATTACAGGTTATGGAATCTCGCATTTTTGTTATGATCAAATTCTACTCTTCCCTCCTGTTGTATCTAAACCACTTGGATATTACTGCCACCAGTCAACTGGTCAGTGCAGTGATTGAAACAGCGGTCTGGTCCACCTAAACGACAGGCCGAGATGTTAAAGTTGTTTTATGGCATCATATTTGGATAACCAGGTACGAATTGTGGCAGAGGTCGTTGGGCGCCACTTATACCAAGTATATTGCACATAAGAGGGGAGGGGGGTGATCATGTTCTAACTAATGATACGCTGTTTACAACAAGTAATACGTAACCAAAGATAGCAGTAATCGCTATGAAAGTGTTTACTGAATGAGTGGATATGAACTTTACGGGAGAGTGTCATACATTTTCTTTTACACTGCCCTTTATATAATCAACAAAGAGTCACCCTACTCAGCAATCTCCAGAATTTGGTAGGCTTTGATTTTGATGTTTTCAATATGTCTGAACAATTGTTATGTGATATTTTACTTAGAGGATTACCTGATTTATACTATGATACAAACTGTAATATCTTGCTAACCACTCAAACTTATATTGTTGACACCAAACGGTTTGTACTCGATTGATTTATTATATAGCCTACTAAACATTTCTTTGTACTATTTAACGACCTATCCCACCCACTTGCTGTTCTCTGTTTTTTGTTATGTACTGTAATTGTATTCTATGTTTGGTGGTGAGGCTAAAATTAGCTATAGCTAGAGTACCTCACCACCTTGTCTTGTATTGTCCTTGTTGAATTTGCAAATAAAAAAATAAAAAAATAAAACTTTACGGGAATCACGACTTTTCACCGTGGACTGTCCACCACTTTTGTTTCAGACTTTTGCCATCGATTTAAGCTACAAGAAGTACCCCATGGCGGTGATATGGTCTTTTTCTCTACTTCAGGGAACGCTTTATGTATCAAAAAGGGTTTGAATGTACTGCTATGAATGGGATTTTAATCTGCAAATATTTCTTAATTTATTCTATTGTTCCTACCAGCGTCATACATGCTTACCCTTGACAGTGACGGAATGATACGAACACGTTTTTAACTGCGGATAGTGGCCAAGGATGCATCAAAAGAAGATATATTGGGTAATATGTAGCCATTTATAGGACCCCTCCTCGGCGCCCGGAATATTTGTAGAGCCGTAAATGTGGTTGGAAATTGGACTATGGAGTATTAGAATCTTTCGGTCTTGCGATATTGTCTACTGAAAGGATGGATCACACTTTGGTGAT